GGTAGGCTTAAGGAGAAAGAGCTCTTTCTCCTTCAGTACTGCTGAATAACTGCTCTGGGAGCAGCGAGTCCTTGTCCTGCAGGTACCTGAGCAAGTTGTCCTCTGTGGTCTGGTCTCCTCTGGGCGCCATCCTTGCTGAGAGCTTCACGGCAGGCGGTTTTATCAGGTGCTCCAGCAGAAGTTGGCCCTGCCTATGATAGAGCTTCAAATAAGGCTGTGGAAAAAAGTACTCAACCTTACCTTTGCTATTAGAGCTGGGACTGCTAGGGACAGCTCTGTATCAAGGCTATAGTTTTAGTGAGGTTAGAACTGTGCTGCCTTAGCTCAAGTTGGCTGTGAGGGGTCTCCGGCCTTGACTTGTTTCCAAGTCCTCTTTCTGTCTAGCTGGAGGTGGTGATGCTGTTCTCTGTCCACCCAGGTCACCACAAAACGGGCACAAGCCTGGTGCTACAGTAAAAACAACATCCCCTACTTTGAAACCAGTGCCAAGGAGGCCATCAACGTGGAACAAGCTTTCCAGACGATTGCACGAAATGCACTTAAACAGGTATGAAGGCGCTGGCGGTGCCCTCTGCTGGTGCTGGCCCTGCGTGCCGGGCTCAGTCAGTGCAGGCGGCTGGGAAGGCTTGGGCTCTCCAACAGCTTTCCCCAGCACGCTGTGGAGAGCTGTGGCATTAACTCTTCCTTCCCCCCTGCTAGGAAACCGAAGTGGAGCTTTACAACGAATTCCCCGAACCCATCAAACTAGACAAGAACGACCGAGTGAAGGCTTCTGCGGAGAGCTGCAGCTGCTGAGGGAAGAGGGAGGGGTTGAGCACAGTCCTTCACAAACAAATATCACACTTAGGCCTTCAAACACACAGCCCCTCTTCTGTGTTTAAAAAGAAAATTAAAAAAAAAAAAAATAATTCCATCTCCAGCTGCCAAAATCCACCCATCTCCCATGAGCATCTGAGAGCCCAGCACTTCAGAGCTCGCATCCCCGCACCATCCACATCACACTTCATGGTAACAGGCCTTTCTCTTAGTTTAAAATGGAAATTCGTATGTATGTTTGGAACTGAATCTAATTCCAGGTGTCCAATGGAGAGAAACTGTTTACAGGTAATCTGTGTAACAAGTTACATACATTTTTAACTGTCTTGTGTTTTCCCCTGTGAAGGCTGCAACTGGAAAGGCTGATTACCCATAGTTCATTGCAAGCTCAGCACTCAGTCTAACTAGGTTGAGTTTTGTATGTATCTCTGTTAATGCTTGTTACTTTTAACTAATCAGATCTTTTTACAGTATCCATGTATTATGTAATGCTTCTTTAGGAGAAATCTTATAGTACATGTTAATATATGCAACCAATTAAAAATGTATAAATTAGTGTAAAATTCCTGAATTACATGTTCAAGTACTGAAACACAGATTGTGTAGAAAGTGAGGAGGACACTTGTGAGCTGTGGTGTGCTAGCGACACAGAGTCCAGATAGAGGCAGTATTCTGTACAGTAGAGATGAACTATGTAAGTCGTCTTGTTCTGAGGCCGAGAGGCTTCATCTTCTGGAAAATCTGTCTGGCTACCTTGTATCTAAATTCTGAGATTTGCATAACAGCATTGACATGCACACTGGATTATTGGGTTTAAAATTAAATACAGCTATGAAATGACCTCACTGTTCACCTCTCCTCCTGCTTAACTCCTAATGTCCCGGATTGAGTATGAGAAGGAGCCAGAGCTGGGGTGCTGCAGTGGCTCTCTGTGCTGTGGAAGGAGCTCCTCTCCCACCCGGGTGATGGTAGCTGTGTCTGAATGAACGACCTGGACTATGGATCTTCCTTTTCTTCTTACTGACTGCTAATCTGGATTTTTTGGTATGGGGAAACTTGGCACTCTAGTCCCTTTTCTCTCTCTTCCTTTCTTCCTGGTATTTGTTCTTGCGTTTGTAGCTTGCTTAAATGGAGCCCTTCTACCTGTTTTCCAGAGGTCTACATTCTAGTACGTAGGCTGAGCTCTTATGTAAAGAGACAAACATGATGCCAATAAACTAAACAAGAACAAACTTCCTTGTTTACTTCTGTTTCTGACTCTCTTTTTTCCTTCACTAACATGCTTTCTTCCTCCTCCTCTGTCACCTTTTCATTGAACTGGTGCCTCCTCAATGGTGCAGCCTCTGTACTGTAAGGTTGTTCCCTTAAGAGGGGGCTGGGCAGGCGTTATTTAGTTGGGTGACCCCACAGACCTGAGTAGGGCAGCTATCTCTGCTCATGCTCCTTGGGTTGAGCAAAGGTTCTCTGCCTGATCTGGTCTGCTCCCCCTGAGGTGTGCAGTTCCTAGGTTCTGGGCATGACCTCTGCTCTGCTGCCACCTCTGCTGGCACTCAGTGCTGCCTCACTCACTGCTGTGTCCCCAGCAACACAGAAAGCAAAGCAGTGAGAAACGAGGCCAGTTATTTCAAGGGACTTCTAACAGCCTTTGTGTTCTGTATCCTACTTTGTGGCTTTATCCTTGCACACTTTTCTCTTGCTTGACTGGCTGTTGCTGTCCACATCCATTTCAAACAACTGCCCTGCAATAGCTGTGTCCTGGTGGGACTGCATCTTCCTGAAGAACTCGAGCCTTGTGCTGGTTGCCATTGAAAGCATCACCTCATGCCTGCGCAGGCTGATGCTGGCTGGGCTGATAGTTCCTGCAGTGCACGTTGTGTTGAGGGGAAGCCATTTCTCTGCTGAAGCATCAGCCCTGTCCCCATGCACATGCAGCCCTCAATGGCCTCAACCACAACACCCAGCTGTGAACACAGCCTGGCTGCACCTGGGGAAATGAGGGCACACAGACATGCTTCTGCCTGCCTGGGGTACATAGAAATGCATTTATCTGAAGTCTGTGTGTGTTCTGACATGTATCAACACATCTACACAAACTATAATGTATATATTGTGTGAGTAAATATATATACATACATGTGTATGTGCACAGGGTTATGTGTATGTGGAGAGCCACAGAGCAGAAGCTGGAGGGCATACTAGAGCACAAAGAAGCCCGCAGGTCCCTGTGTGTGTTCTGCTGTCTACACAGCCCCTGTGTCAGCATGCTTCAGTTTAATTAGAAGTGTCTGATTACGTACAGAGCTAGATGGATGCAAACACCTTTATGGGCTCTATTTGCACACATCAGATATGTATGCACACATGGGTGGGTGGTGCAGGAGTGAGGTGGATAGAAAATATGGACACATGCAGAGTCAGTTACACCTATAAGCAGTATACTAGATGTATAAGCACTATACTCAGTACACATGCATAGTCACAGGAAAATATATTGTGTGTGGATGGATGGATGGATGGATGGATGGATGGATGGATGGATGGATGTGTGCCTACAGCACAGATACACGCCTGTATGACTACTCTGGGTACATGTGTGTATTTGTGCTGTGTTTATGTGCATAAGAAGAGCATGGAGAAAGCGGGGAGGGAGGGGGGAGGAAGGGGGGAGAAGGACAGGCGGTCTTCCACCAGACTCTGTGCAGCTACACTGTATTTAAATCCTATCCTGATAAATCTGTATTCCTGTTCTCGACCATCTCTCAGGAGCTCCACAGAGCTCACACACGGATGCCCCCAGGTCCCCTTTGTATCTGTGTGCTCCTTCTCACCCGCGGCAATCTGCCCACTACACCCGGCCCCACTGAGGGCTGAGTCCGGCCCCAACTCAGCGCAGCAGTGCCCCGGGGGCTGCAGGGCCGCGAAAGCCTCCCTCCCCCTCCCCCCCTTTTTCCAAGGGGCTGTGCGTCCATCCCAGCGCTGTGCCCCCGCGGGGGGGGCTCTGCGGGATGGGGACACTCCCATGGGGAGGCCTCGCGCGGGGACCGTGCGTGGCCAGGGGGAGGGAAGGTCCGGGGAGCGCGGGCTGGCGGCGGGGGGCGAGGGCAGGGAAATGGCGGAGCAGTGCCGGGAGAAGGGGAGGTGACGCCGAGGCGGTGCGGGAGCGGCGAGCGTGGGCAGGGGCTGACTGCGGGCTTATGCGCGCGTGTGCGCGCATGTGTGAATGCGGGGCGCGCACACGTGTATGGGCGTGGGGGTGCGGCACAGCCTCGTGTGGGCTCCCGGGGGAAGCGTGTTCTCCCCGCGCCGCCATAGCTCCTGGCTCGGCTGCGTTGGGGGCACACAGACCCCCCCACCCCCGCGCTTCCCCAGGAGTTGAAGCAGAGGCCCCCCGCCCTCAGGCCCGGCCCTGCGCTCGATTCACGTCCCTTCTCCCCCTCGCCACCCCGAGCTTCGGTTCGCAGCTGGAATTTGCCGGGAGGGGTGTATTACGAGGCGGACCCCTCGTAGCACCGCTGCTGCCCCCCGCCCCCCCGTCCTCCGCGCTGATACCCACCCCTCTGGGGGCCCCGTCCGGGCGGCAGCGCGGTGGGGGGGCGGCCCCCTCCGCCTGGGCGGGGACCCCCGGCGTCGGCTAGGCGGCTCCGCGCTGCAGCCGGTGGCCGCGGGAGGGCGTTCCCTGTGTTAGTTCCCCGCGGGAACCAGGGCCCAGCGCCTCCGCCACCGCCCCCCGCCGCCCCGCAACGCTCTCCGCTCGCGGCGGCCCCTCTCCGGCCGCGGACGGCGGCGGAGGGGCGGCGCGGGGTGGCCGCCGCAACGTCCCAGCCTCCGTCGCATCTAGTGCCCCCCTCCTCATACCCATCGCCGCGCCGGGCGCGCCCCCCAAATCGCTGCGGAGGGCGGCGGGAGGGGGCCGCGGAGGCGGTGGCGTGTGGGGAGGCGGCGGGGCGGGGGGCGCGGCGCGGGCGGAGAGGGGCGGGGGGCGCCGGCGGAGGCGCAGGAGCCCCACGGAAGGGCCCCAAGAAGCACAAGTGGGAGCTGGCGGCGGACCAGGCTGTTGTTGTTCTCAACGCGGTCCGCCCAGCGCCCATATAAGGGAGGCGAAGGCGCCCGCCCCGCCAGTGCGCGGCGGCGGCGCGGAGCGGAGCGGAGTCGGAGAGCAGCGCGTAGGGCCCGGGCCCCGCCACGCCGCGGCCGCTTGTGCCCGCCCGCTTCCCGCCTCCGTCCCGCGGCCCCCGGCACCATGTCGGTGGAACTGGAAGAAGGCGATCTGCCCCTGACCGAGGCGGAGGAGGCACCGATCTCCGCCGAGAAGAAAGCGGCCTCTAAGAAGGCGAAAGCCGGCGGTTCTTCGTTATCGCCATCGAAGAAAAGGAAGAACAACAAGAAGAAGAACCAGCCGGGCAAGTACAGCCAGCTGGTGGTGGAGACCATCCGCAAGCTGGGCGAGCGCAACGGCTCTTCGCTGGCCAAGATCTACAACGAGGCCAAGAAGGTGGCGTGGTTCGATCAGCAGAATGGGCGCACCTACCTGAAGTACTCCATTAAGGCGCTGGTGCAGAACGACACGCTGCTGCAGGTCAAGGGCACCGGCGCCAACGGCTCCTTCAAGCTCAACAAAAAGAAGCTGGAGGGCGGTGGGGACGGGGCCGCGGGCGGCGGCGCGCATAGAGCCCCCAGGAAGGCGGCGGCCGCCGCGTCCCGGCGGGCGGAGAAACCCGCGGGCAAGAGCCAGAAGGCCGAGAAGAAATCGCACAAGAAGGGAGCGGGCGGCGCGGCGGCCAGGAAGGACAAAGCCAAGAAGGCTGCTAAGAAGGGAGCCGCGTCCCCCGGGGGCAAGAAGGTGAAGAAGTCCGCGAAGCCCAAGGCGCTCAAGGGCCGGAAGGCATGAGGGGGGGCGCGGCGCGGGGGGCGCTCCCCGCCCGGACTGGGGGGCGTGGGGCAGGCTGCTCTGCGGACGGACTCCGGGGGGCCGCTCCGTGTGCCCCATCCCCCTCCGTCTCGCCTCGTTTTTCCTCCCCGCTCCTCCCGCCCGCCTCTTTCCGATCGCTCCCTTTTGTTTTCGGCCGCGCCCCTCCCCGCTCGCAGGCGCTTTCGGATCACCCCCGGCCCCTCTCCCCGCCGCCTCGCGGGGCTTTTTCCCGCCCGGTTTCTATAGCAGCCGCTCGGCGCCCCCGCTGCCCCCGCGCCACGTGGGCCGGCGCTCACCGCCCCCCTCCTCGCCCCGCCCGCCTGGCGCGCCGCTCCTGCTCGCGGCCATTCGAAAAGCCACGGCGCCCCCTATTGGCTCCCGGCCCCCGGCGCCATGGCAACCGCCCGTTAGGCGCCAATTGGCTCCCGCGGCGTCTGGCGCGCTTAAAGGGCCCGCGCTTCCGAGCGACCCCCGGCGGTGGGGGTTCCCGGCCTGGCGGTCAGGTCGCGTCTTAATGGCCTTTAATTTTGGTTTGTTTTTTTTTTTTTTTTTTTTTTTTTTTTAAAAAGTTTTTGGGGGTGGGTTTTTTTTTTTTTTTTTTTTTGGGGGGGGTGCTATTTTTTTTTTTTTTTTTTTTTTTTTTTTCCAATTTGACGTCGTTTCAAATAAATTGATAAAAAACTCGGAGCGGTGGTGATGTGCTCCCTGCAGGCTCCGGGGGCTGCGGCACCGCACGAAAGGCATCGGGGATTTCCCCTGGCGGGAAGAGTGGCCCGGCCCGCAGCTGTCATTGGCAAAGCGCCTGGAGCAGAGAGGGGGGGGCTCAGCGGTGCAGCATCACCCCTAGCGCAGCTCGAGGCCTCCCGGGGCTCCATCACCCCCCCCTCACTGCCTGGCACCGCACGGGAGCATCTCCCCCAGGAGCTGCAGCTGCGTGCAGGCACCTATGGCTCCGTTGGCATCGGTGCAGAGTGAGCCGCCCCTCCATCGGCTGTGCCTATTTATAGCTCGCAGCAGGGAGGTTGCATAAAGCTCTGCCGGGGATCTGGGCCATGTTGTTCCACTGGGTCCTCGGGAACTCAGCCCTGTGAGACACCTCCCAGCTCCTGCACCATGAACATGGGGGGGGCCGGGGCAGCAGGAGGGGCAGTGGGGTCACGCTGCACCTCCAGGAGCTGCTGCATGGGTATGAAGCCAGTATCCCCAGGGTGCCCAGTATCTGATGGCCGGCAGCAGGGTGAACAGAGATGTGTGAATTCTGGGAGGCTCTCCAGGTCTGCATTCAGGACGCAGCTGCTGGGTCAGGCAGGCACAGTCACACCGAGGCTGGCTATCTGCCAGCCGTCTCAGATGCTGGGAGAGCTGCTGCACTCGGCGCAGAGCTGCAGTTGTCTCCTCAGTCAATAGATGACACTGCAGGTTTTGGAGGAGCAGAGGGAATGCCATCACCGAGCTGGTTGGCCTCAGGCAGGAGGAGAGCCACACTCAAAGGTTCTTGCAGTTCCCTGGAGCAGGCTGTGTGCCAGCAGCAGGGTGTCCCTGCTTCCTCCTGCTCTGCTGCCTACAGCAGTGACCCTTCAAGCACACTGCTGGGCAGACAGGGATAGAAATAGATAAAGCACTGCTGACATTCCTGAGTAGTGCAGTGCAGAGGCAAAGGGGAGTGGAGCCCAAGCCCAGACAGCAAAGGGCAGACAGAGGTGATGCTCTGTGCCCCAGCACACCTTGCTGGCCCAGCCAGAGCCCTGGGGCAGAGGGGCTGGCAGCGTCCTGCTGCCCAGCTCAAGACTGCTGGAGCCACGGCATCTCTGTGCAATCCCACGGATGCTGCCAGCCCCTAGGGCCTGCCTCTGGGGGCAAAGCCAGGACTCCCAAGGGCAGGCAGCACCAACCTCACCCCAAGAGGACTGCAGCAAGGTCCAGCTCTGCAGTATGAAGGCAGAGAGCTTTTGCAGCACAGAGAAGCTCAATTTCCATGTTCCTGCACCCATCTCCCCCTCGGGCTGCAGTGTGCCCAAGGAGAGGCAGTGGAGGAGAGAGCCCTGCAGTCTCCAGCTCTCCTCACAGAGAAGCAGAGGCTGATGTGCAGGCTTTGAGGCTTGCACGACCTCAGAAGCTCCACGTAGTTGAGCCCAGCACCTTTTCTGAGTTCAGCTGCTCTGGTGCCGTGAGGCATCCAGCAGTACCCGGAGCTGCAGCTCTGGAGGTCTGTCCCAGCCGCTTGATGAAGATTGTATGGAATCCAGGTGCTCCCAGTGGTCACACTGCTGTTCAGATGTGAAGGCTGGACAGACAGGATTTCCTTTCTGTCTGCCAGCAGCCAGGCTTTCCCAGGCTGTCATTCATGTGGCTGGCAGTGCCCAGCTCTCACCCAGCTGCCAGGGGTGCACATCCGCCCGCAGCTCCAGTTACAGCTGCAGCATCTCCCCATCACCTCAGCCACCTGCAGTCAGGGGATGACCACAGTTGCTACTGAGCTGCTCAGCCCCAGGCCTGCTATGCAGCACTCAGCCAGCCCAACACACCCCTGTGCCCTGCCCTGCCCCGGGGGACCTGCTGTGCAGCACTCACTGGGCAGCACTTAAAGGCCAAAGAAAGGACAGCCCTGTTCCTCTGCTGAGTCCAGCAGCTCCAGTCCTGACCCACACCTTGGAATGCACACCTCAGCCCCGGCCAAACCCTAGCCCTGACTGTGGGGGAACCTTCCTACAGCCCTTCTCCCCCAGCCAAGCATGAGGGTATGCAGCAGCTCTGGCTTGCTGTGCCATCACAGCAGTAACCCAGGAACACTCAAGAAAGGAAGAGGGTGTCAGAGTAAACATCCCCCATGACACACAGGCCTCCACCCGCCCCCATCTGTGTCAGCTGTTCCCATCAGACCTCCAGAAGCTCATTCAGTGCCTTGAGGATCTCCAGCAGAGACTGGGGGAAGGCTCCAGGTGCAGCTTCATTCTGCTCTGCTGCTCCCAGCCCAGGGGCCCCACACGCTCCCAGGCACCACTGACAGAGTGAGCAGACAGTACGGCATCCCCGCAGCAGAAAGAAGAGCTGGGGAAGGGTTTTATCTGCCCCCAGGGTGAGTGGAAAATGGTATGTAGGAGATGAGTGCATGCACAGGTGCTAGGCTAGATCTGGTCCTTTCTCCTCAGGGAAAAGCAAGCCCAGACAGCCAGCTTCCTCACAGCCTGCTCCTGCAGCCCACTACCAGCTAGAGCAGACTTGGTGTGGTGACAAGACAGCACATTCAACAGCATTCAACAGGGAACCAGTTTAATCAAATATTGGGTTTGCACCATTCTTTTCAGTATGACAAGTTCTGCATTTTCTAATACAAAGCACTCAGTTGTACAGAACGCTGGTCCTGAAGGAAAGGAGGGAGAAAACAAGACGTGGGTGCAGACACGTTACCCACCGCCCACGGCAGCACACGTGGGGAGAAAGCCCACGGTCCCCGTGCAGCAGGGAGCCGTGCTGCAGCAGGGCACACAGCCAGCTGCTCCCACCCCATCTCCCCCCATCCCGAGATCAGGGTAGCACAGCATAACCAGGGGACATCTGCACCACATGAGCACACCAAAAGTGCCGCTTCCACATCCTCCAGCAGAGCACAAAACCCCTCCCTTGAAGCAGCACGCATCCAGCTTCATCTGCTCTAGGTGAGAATAGTGCCAGCGCCAGGCTAAGGTACTTCACCCACTAGGGTAACAGCAGAGGCAATAGGCTGAACACATGCTACTTACAGCACATAAATAGAAGCTGCTCATTTTACTCAGAAAAACAAGAGAAAAACAAGAGGTCATGAGGTCTGCAGTCCAATTGCCCAGACAGCGCCGCATGCACGTGACGATGGGCCTCCATGGCAGCAGGCTGCACTAGGCAGTGAGAACACTGTCAGCACATCAGCCATTCCTGGTGTCACGGGACAGCCCTGTGAGCCTACATTATCCACGGCCATTCAGAACATGCAGCTCGAGCTAGGAACAGGCTTCAGCACAAACTGTACTGTTGTTGCTGTTGTTTTATAAAGAAACATTCATCCACAGAACGTTACACATAACAGACAGCATCATCACTTTATTTCTCAGAACCAGAAACGGTGTTGAACAAACAGAAAGACACAGCATGTCATTTTTGGAAGTGCCATCGGGGTGTGATGGAGCCGAGGGACACGGGGGGCTCCCACAGACGGGGCCGCTCCGCCAGCAGCGCGGAGCCGCAGCAGAACATGGCAGCTCCCGGCGCCTGACCTTGCACTGCTCTGCGGGGATTTGACACTGGAGTGCCCCAAAGCCCCCTGAGCTGGGAGCTGCCTCTGTGGGGGAAGGGACTACCCAAAATAAAATACCTCCAAATAAATAGGACCGGAGCTTCTTAACAGTAGGAACGCACGAGCTTTAACCACGGACAGAACTAAAACTAACAGTCGCTCCTTGCTGACGGAGAAACTTCTGCTTTTCGCATTTGCCAGCCCCCCCTGCCGCAGTGCAGCGGGGATGGCACCGCTCAGGGTGTGCAGCAGCATCAAGCCTCAGCCCCACGCCAGGGCAGCAAGGACAGCCGCGGGGGGGCCTGCAGGGCCCCAGGGCCGGTGGAGGCAGCCGGAGGTGCCCGTGTCCATCCCCACGCAGCCACAACAGTCCTCGGCAGCTCCACGCAGCGACCCAACCGCACCGCCCCGGCCCCCGCCATCTCCCGCACCCCCACCGTCTCCTGCAAAAACGCTTCTTCCAGAGAGTCGGGGCGGGGTGGGGACACAAGAGGGGCCCGGCCTCGCCCGCGCTCCCCCAGCACCCCACTACAGCCCAGGCCGGGAGCCAGTGGAGAGCGGGGGGGGCACAGCCGGGGCTCACCCCACAACCCGGGCGCAGGAGCAGGAGGGGAACCAGGTGCGGGGGGCAGCGGCGAGGAAGGGGCCGGGAGAGGGGCAGCGCTCACTTCTTGGAGCTCTGCGTCTTCTTGGGCAGCAGCACGGCCTGGATGTTGGGCAGGACGCCGCCCTGGGCGATAGTCACGCCGCCCAGCAGCTTGTTGAGCTCCTCGTCGTTGCGGATGGCGAGCTGCAGGTGCCGCGGGATGATGCGCGTCTTCTTGTTGTCGCGGGCCGCGTTGCCCGCCAGCTCCAGGATTTCGGCCGACAGATACTCCAGCACGGCCGCCAGGTACACCGGCGCCCCGGCGCCCACCCGCTCCGCGTAGTTGCCCTTGCGCAGCAGCCGGTGCACGCGGCCCACGGGGAACTGCAGCCCGGCCCGCGACGAGCGCGACTTGGCCTTGGCCCGCGCCTTACCGCCGGACTTTCCGCGGCCCGACATGGCCGGCAGGCAGCGGCCGCTCGCCGCCGCCCAGGAGCGCCGCGCACAGACGGTCCCGGCGCCTGCGGGAAAACAAACGCCGTCGCAGCGCGCCGCGGGCCGGGCCGGGCCCCTCCAGCCGCAGCTGCCGCTCCTTACCGCTCCGCCGCCGCCGCCGCTCCGCCCTGCGCGCCGCCCGCCGCCGCACTGCCAGCGCTACCGCCGCCGAGCCGCGGATATCCCTACCCGGGCCTTTCCATTGGCTGCCGCCGCGGCCGGCTCGCTGCCCATTGGCTGCCGCGCCGATCCCTGATTTGCATAGGACTCGCGGCGCCCCGGCTCCGCTGCGGGCAGCACCCGGCGGGGCGCGGCCGTTGGCTCCGCGCGTGTCCGCGGCCCTGCGGGGTCGAGCAGAGCCCGGCCGAGCCCAGACCCTCAGCCCAGCCCCGGCCCGCCCTGGGGGTTCCCTCCGGCGTTTGCCCTCCCTCGGGGCCAGCAAGGGGTGCTGTCCCGCCGGTGATGACAATGCCCCTCGCTCACGGCCTGCGATTGTAACCCAGGGATGGACCGTCGAAAGCAGTCCCAAAATAGGACTCCCGACTGGGGTTGTGCCCATTAATTCCCTTTTACTGTTTCCAAGATAATTTAAGGACTGTTTTAAGGCACAGGCTCCGCGGTGGAAGGCTTTGGGCTGGCAACATCTGGCTCTGCTTACAAAACCCCTGACAAAATCCCTGACCTCAAAAGCAGCAGCTCTGCACGGTTCTGTCATGGCACTTTGGTTATCTGGGCTTTAACACGCGACCTCTCTGAGCAAGGCTGAGTGCACCCATCCACAGATCAAGAAAATCCTCTCAAAGTCTTCAAATCCCATTAACAGAATGACTGTATGACAACGTGACTACCACGGTTCTTCCCCCCCTCTCCCTGCAGGGAAACCCAAGGTAGGGGGCAATGCTTGGGGCTTCAATCTTATCCCAGAGACAATATAGAAAAGGCACAGCCCACATCCTTCCCCAGCCTCATTTCCTCCCTGGCCCAGGGATGCTCAGTGCATACTGGGTGCCTCTCTGGGCTGCAGCTGTTTTTAGAGGGTGGGAGTGTTAATTTGTGCAGAACGCATATGGGAGTAAGTGGAAAAGAGGTAAGAGTTTAATAACAGAAAAAGAAAAAAAAAAAAGAAAGAAAAAAGAAGAAAACAAGAGGAGACAAACAGTAACCTTTAACAACAGACAGAGACAACAACCCAGGACATCAGAACACCTGAGAGGTATGAAGAATCCCATTAGTGTCTGCAAAGCCCTCCAACGGGCGCTCTGCATTGTGCTCAGGGAGCTTTGCAGACAAGCAGGGTCTGGCTGCCCTATGCCTTGTGCTTCTTGGCAGCTGGCCCCCCCTCCTGCCCCAGCCACTGCCGCAGGACACCTGCACTGCTCTTCTTGGGTGAAGGGCTGTGGATGAACTGGCTCTTCCACCTGGGCAAAGTATCTTCTTTCTTTTGCGGAGAGCCCTCCTGGGAGCTCTTCAGCCAACCCAGCATCACCTTGCTGCTTGCAGTAGCTTTGACCTCCTGGGGACACAGAACAGAGCAGGAAGAAGTGATGTGCACAGTGAGAGCCGCATGGGATGCGCGCACCACAACCAAGTGCTCACCTTAGGGGCTCCCAGCTCGATGGGCACCAGGCACTCAGGTGTGTCATTGCGGATGCTATTGACGAAGGTGGACACGGGGTGGAATGCAATGTTCTCTGTGGGCCGGATGAGCTTCACTGCCTCCTGGGTGGGCACCTCAGCAAAGTCCAACCACTTCTCGATGGCCTCGTCCCCATCCAGGATGGCCGGCATCCTGGGCACAGAGGAGACACGGCAATCATGCTGAGCCCCGTGTCGGTGCAGTGCAGCAGTGCAGCAAAAGCAAGCACGCACCTGTGGTGGATGAAGCTCACGTCCTTGGAGGCATCCACGGTGATGATGGTGTAGGTGTACAGTGGCTCTCCTCCTGCTGGTGGCTCCCAGCAGTCAAAAATCCCGGCCATAGTGAGCAGGCGCCAGCCCCGCCACTCCTCATCGCTGTCCTCCTCCTCCTCAGCCTGCAGGACACCCAGCGTCATGCCCGCTCCACCCCAAGGCAACGTGCCTGGGCAGCTCAACCCACCACCCCACCGCCCAGCCCTGCACCAGCTCAGCCAGACAGAAGGAGGCAGAGAAACCCACAGCTGAGTCCCCTGAGAAACACCTCAGCAGCTCATGCAAATACGCAGTGCATGAGGAGTAGCAGGCGTGACGGGTGGGAATGTCATGGTTTGGGTACGGCCGTGCGCTGCCGTGATTTGGGGGACCAGCAGCAAAGTGCCTTCGGAAGAAAATTCTTCTCTGCACACCCCAGTTCAGCTGTTCCCTGCCTTGCCCGGGTGTCTCTGTGTGAGTGGAGCTCAGTGCTCAGGCACTAGCAGTGTTGCAGTACCGGGTGTTTCTTGCTCTGGGGGAAGTAGATGAAGTAGGGCTGCTTGCCCCCGCCACACTGCTGCCACTCATAGAAGCCATCTGCCAGCACCACGCAGCGTTTGCCCTTGAGGAGAGGGCCCTGGGGAGGGGAGACAAAGCAGGATGTGAGCTGCAGGATGCGGTCAGGACTGCCCCAGGGCAGTGGCAGTACCCAGCACTGCCAGGTGCACACCACAGTTGTGGTTCTGCCGAGCCCTGCAGTCAGACACACACAATGGGGCTCACCTTGTAGGAGGACTTGCTCAGCATAGTGTCACTGCGGCAGTTGGAGGTCTTAAACTGCATTTTGGAGGGGTCGTCCTCTCTGAACCAGGAGGGCACCAGGCCCCAACGCATGTCCATGAGCACCCGCTCGGAGGAGTCAGCATCCTGCAAGCAAGGCAGAGGAGCAACCTCCAGTGATACCCACCCTACAAACGTGGCTGCGTTGTGTTTATCAGCAGCAGCAAGCACAGTTTCTGTGGCAGGATAAGAATGGTGATATGGGCTCCATCCCTCCTCTGGTTAACAAGCAGCTGGCGCTGAGATTGAAGAGAGCATCCCAGGGGGCACAAACTTCACCTTCATTTTAATAACGTGATTTCTGGTTCACTTTCACTCTTTGCATATTGCCTCAGCTCAGGCAATGGAAACGGCACGGCGGCTTTCACTTCCTCCTGCGCAGTGCCACGTTCTGCCCGCCCAGAGCAGCACAGCTGTAGCCCTGGAGCGCGGCTGCACCCAGACATCAGCGCTGGATGAGGATGTATACAGAAACATGCATGTACCCCAGAGCTCCCCTCCCACCCACACCAGGACCAGCATCGGGGGGCACTCGGTTCCAACTGCTGGGTGAAGGTGGCCAAGAGACTCACGCCATGCTCACGACCCTTGTGCCATCCCAGAGCTCAGCCTGAGTCCCCTGAGCCACCCCTTGTCCCCATATGGGCGATGCACCACAGCTGCCTGGGGAGAGGCCACGGTCAGGCGTCTCAGCTCAGTGCTCCCTGCTTCGGGCTGTTGGGGCTCAAACTAACGGTAATCCCAGCACTGTGCTGCTCCGGGCTCGAGATTTTGTTCCTTGCTCTCCCCCACCGAAGTGCTGTGGGCACCCGCAAAGCAGAGCAGAGCCCACAGTACAGCTTCAGAATGCCGGGAGAAGAACCGACAGAAGTTACCGACTGCCACAGAGACACAGCACTAAGTGGGAGCACAGCCCGACTCGCCGCCCCCCTTAGGGCCACGGCAATATTAACGAGAAGGGCCACTTCAGTAATACGGACGCTGAGAAGCAAAACAAGCGGCCAGCACCACCCAACAACCCACCCCAAACCCCACTTTGCGCCCCAACACCCCAGTCGGGTGCAGCAACCCTCCACCCCCGGGGGGCCGCGCTCCGGCCGACGCTCCTCCGTTTACCTGCTGGACGTGCTTGCGGGACAGCAGCACGGGGCCGCAGGACTGCGGGCCCTTGTTGTAGGAGGGCCGGTAGCGCTCCTCCCGCAGCCATTCGGGCTGCTGCCGCCGGCCCCGCCGGTCGCGATAGGCGCAGGCCCGCCGCAGCCGGGCGGCCCCCAGCGAGCAGGCCGTCCGCCCGCACATCGCCGCCCGCCGCCGCCACCGGAGGGCCTCGCTCCGCTCCGCCCCGCGGAGGAGGTGCCGGGAGGGGCGGGGTGAAGTAAACGCCCGGAGGCAGCGGCAGCCCGCCTCGATAGAGGGAGGAGGAGCAACGAGAGGCTTTATTGTCAGCTAGGAACGATGGGAAAGGGCTGAGCTGGGGGCTGGGGAACAGCCGGGCTCGAAACCGCCCCCCAGGGCAAAGCGTTTCGTAAAATCGGAGCTTAAAAACAGCGTTATTTTACACAGAACCCCAAATCCAGGTCCCCGTTGTATTGAAGGAGCTGCTGCAGCGAACGTGATCCCTTATGATCCCAGTGGCAGAGGAAGCAGCGCCCGAAGAGCGAGCAGCGCTCAGCCCACAGAGGCCATGATCACATCCACCGGGAGCTCCTCCGTGCTGCGGGCCGTGACCTGCATCGTCACCGTGTCGGTCAGCAGCAGGCGAGCCCGCAGCAGCAGGTCGTGGCCGCCGCGGAACACACCTGGAAGGCAGCAGGAGGAAGGAGGCAGCGGGTTAGAAGGGACCCCACGTGGCCTCTCTCCTTCACCACGACCTACCTGGGACACCCGCAATACAAAGACCTCGTGAAAATTCAGTTTAACATAAATTCCAGCTGAGAAGAGATCCGACCACTCCATTAATTCCCCCCAACCTTCAGCACACAGCCACTGGCTGGGCAGAGTACCACCCTTCTCCCTTCAACGTCCTTCCAGAACAGAATGCTGCAGATAACCAAGGCAGCAAGTGCCATCCAGCTGAGTCTCAGCTCATCCCAGCTTCTCCCCACCAAAGCCCCCCCCCCCCCCCCATTCCACTACCAGTTTCCCTACATCCAAATCCCACGCAGGGCTCAGTGAGCACAGCACAAGCTCGGATTTTCAACCTTGCAGAGCCACTGTTTCAGCAGAGACCCGAT